GGACGCGATTCGAATCCGGTGCTAAGTTCAGCGAAGCACTGTCTACTAGGGCTAGTATTTGCAAGTACTTTGTGGTCAAGCTCACCTATCAAACCGGGCATAATTGGGATAGCCCCTTAGGCTACAACGATTACGTAGAGAAAAAAAACTGCATAACTTTACTAGCGCATAAACGCGAAGCCAGAAAGCGTGTTGAGCATATTATTATAACATATTAAACTATTTGCATAGTCTACTGTTTTAATTTAATAAAAAAAAACCATAGATTTATCAAATAGAAATTGAAAAGGCAACGATTATAAAAATCTGCACTAATAATTTAATTATCGGATTCCGCGTATCGGTCAGCGCGGTGCCCCTTTGTCAACAAACCAGCCATGACAGTTATCTGCTTCGAAACATGCACGTGTGCACACATTCAGTCCAAGCGACCTAACCTTTACAAATATCTAGATATAGTAGTAGTGCATAAAGAAAACTATGTGGATATTTTTTTGGCTACAAAAATGGCTTTTCATATTGTCAGCGGCCAGCTACCTTGAAAAATGAGTTATAAGTCTCAGTTTTATAATACAAGGGCTTTATAGGGCAAAGTGGATGTTTTTTTATTGCTTTATAAGACAACTAACCATTCATCCGGTTTCGCACGAGTTAATCAGGTTTATAACATTGAAAGTATCGAAAGTATTATGGTTACAATATAAAAAAATTATTTATTGCTTACATGTGTAAATGATCTCATTGGCCACCTGGTGTTAAGTAATTACCAGAGCCCATAGACATCGAAAACATAAATGAGAGAGATCTTGAGAGATGAGTTCTAAGGTTTCAGTTTTTATAGTACAACGACTGCCCCACTCTTCAAACAGAAACGCATTACTGCTTCACGGCAGAAATAGGCAGGGTTGTGTTACGTACCCGTGGAGGCTCACAAGGGGCAAATTTTAATGTTTGGATTTGCAATGTTCCATATTTATTACACGATGTTATTCCTTCAATGTGGAAATGATTTGACAAAATTTGTCAAATGCGTGTTTCATTATAAAAATCGGTACCCGTCTGCGGTATTCGAACACTGAGACCGTCGCATCGCTCGATACGAATGCAACAAGCGCCTTATCTTTTAGGCCACGACGACTTTAAGTCGACTGCAAGTCTCATTATATTCTATAATGACTGTCCTACTTTTCAAATTGAAACGCATGGCAGTTACGGCAGAAATAGGTAGAATAGTGAACACCTGTGTGAGCTCACTATTTACTCTTAAAAATGTATCTAAGGTTCGTGACCACGTTTCTCTCTCTTTCTCTCTTTATAATGTTGCATCCTCTTCTCTTATTCACGGCCACATCAAACGCATTGGATGAAGACGCGTCTAGAGTGGTGCATATCTGATGGGCCCAACGCGTTTAGAAGCAACCTCAGGTCCTTTTGCTGCCGAAACTATATAAGTAACCCAAATAAAAGTCACGATTCTCTTTTTAAACTACCACTCGTTCATTTTAGTATATCACTTTATTCATTCATCTGCTATAATTTCTCCTCTCCATTATTCATATCTTAAATATTGGTAGTCGAAAGCCAGATTTTTTTTCTCTATAAAAATACGAGACGAACTTTTCTTTTTAATGCATGACAGCTAGAATTAAAATTATTAACGTTTAACAATTGACCTTTTGACCTTTATGTTAACCGAAAAACCGAACCAGTAGTTGTCTCATTCGAATACAATATGCAGGCTCCACAGTAACACAATAGAATCAAAACACGTTCTTAGTTCTAGAAAACATTTCTATAGCACACATCCACTCAAAGTGACTAGGCCATCTATCATAAGCCCACGATATATTTACACACAGTGAATGCATTATCGCCATTCCTAAATCAGCTATCAACGGACTCTTTTCACTAAAAGGGTGAACTTCACTATAGAAAAGGTTGACCCCTCATAAAGACTTATCACCTCATATACAAAATAAGGTTGTACTAATCCAAAAATCGCCACGCCAATTTAATGCTTAAAATCGAAGGCGTAGAGTTTAGAATCGTATGAAAGCATCGCCGCAGATGGGATCTCGTCAAAGTTAGCGGTAGTTTTTTCACAACAATCTCCTCTCGGACTTAACTCACGTTATCTCTGCCGACGTCACGACGAATAGAAACCCGCACGTTCATAATAAGGAAGATATTTCTAAAGAAATTTAAATTTGCCCGCAAAGGTCCCGAGATAGGATTAAAGATTGGGCACGAAGATGGCCCTTTTGTGACCGACCCTCAAGAAAACATGTCCTGATAATATGGAAATATCTCGGACGGGAAGTTAATCGAGGAATCATTTGCGGGGGCGATCATTTATCAGGGCCACGCACGAATACGTAATTAGCTGCGGAAAGCATTAGGTACAATTGAAAGACCGTTCGAAAGCCTTTGTTGATATTTATTTGCATGAGAGAACGAATAAAAAGGCGTACTTGTTTAGATCTGACCTACCGTGTTGCGGTGCGACAGACCATGCATACTTAAGTTGAAACGATAATTCCATAGGGGCAGAAATGTAGCCAGTATAATATAATATAGACAAAAGACATCTGAATTTCATCTTCTTACAAAAACAGAGGGATTGTAATGATATAATCGCAGGTTAGTTTCATTCAGAGTTAACACTAATTTGACACTAACGTTAAATAAAAATTTCAATTCTCCCAACGAAATGTTTAAAGCACAATTTGAATATGAAACACTCATCCGGCCCGACAATCCTTCATTAATTTGTAAACTAAACAACGCAGACCAAACACTGGACCCGATTCACACTTGCTCCAATATTTGTTTTGATACAAATAACTGACGGCCATCGGTTTACCGTTTTGTGATGTTAATGACTTCGGTGACACAATGCGGACCCAGATTCCGAAAACCGGCTCATTTTCTTTGTTAATACGTTGACGAAATTATAACGTAAAAGTTGATGATAAAAATTCGATCAACATGCTAGACGTAAACATTGCTCGAGGGTGAGTAACGGTATCTTGTCGCTAAATATAAACGTGAACTAGTCAAAGGACACGCGATAGACACGAGACATCTTCCCCCTTGCGTTTCGGAGTCGCAGAGACGTCACGTTTAAAATTAAAAACCCACTTATTTACAAACCAGCCACTTAGCCACCTTCCCGACCATACAAAAACTAAAAATATATTCAAACCATTGTGTCATGCTCAAAGAAGTTCCATAGGTCACGGCGAACGCACGAACGTGTACCACGTGTCAGAAACACGCCAAACATTTTTTATCTTTGAAAAAATTATAAAAGACCGCTCCTAACAATGGAGCCTCGGTAGCATCTTTGACAATTATAATATCGCTCGCTACGTAATTTAGAAGGATTTTAAAACAATGAAACCTCTCCGAAAATGAACCTTAAAACAGCTTACGTATGCGTTGAACATACAACATAACCGGGAGGAAAGATACGTCCTTTCTGAAATGACGAAGCGGCAGTTAACGCAAGGGTCATCACAAAAGGCAGATGATAACAATGAACGCACGTCAATCGTGCGCTCATGCAAATAATTTTTTTCTACAAAACATCCCTTTATCTGTCCTTAAAGCGATGGGGTTAATTAATATATTATAAATAAAATATAATTAAAATTAAGATCCTTTTTTCGTTGGCACGAGGTCGCGACTTACTGTCACCATTAGAATTATATTCTTGTTTTGACAATGAGCTTCCTTTTGAATGCGGTTGTAACAGTTAAATAGATTTATGGATTGAAACTCTTTTGTTTCTGGTTATCAATTTATTTTATCGCAGCGGGACCCCATGGTTTATTGAATATGACTTGACAGCTCACTCGAAAGGGTTAATATGAACGTTTAGGATAAACTCAATAATCCGAAACAACTGGTGTCAAGGGAAAACCTGTTATTGACATACAATAGCGCAATTGTATTTACATGACGAGCCGATTATATATTAGGACGAAAAAAGGCATAGTCTTAGTTCTTAATTACGGTAACCTAATTAATATAAACGTATAAAGTTTGAGAAATGTTGACTCTTAATACTTTAGTATGAGGTAAATGCAGCTTCGAAATAATTAAAGTGAGCCGCCACTGTTTGGTTACGAAGGTTTCGCTGCTAAAACAGCTTTACAGCGGCACGAAGCGAACAAAATGCGGGTTGAAAATACACCGATGCACAAATTTCGGGTTTAAGAAAAGCTTTGTTGTGCAACGGTTTATTACAAAAGTGTCGAATGACACCGCATCTGCTCGCACAAAGGGTTAGCTCTCTCGGATAGATTATTCCCCGGACCGACCCCCGCAAGATTGCTCGCTTATACAGATGTTACGGAGGATTCTTTTTATCAGACGGTTTAAGGATTAGTGAATTGAAGTGTTTTGAATTTTTAAGGAAAAAATCTCGCTATTTTTAGTCGGGTTCAGCGCAAGCTTTTCATTTGGGTGTATTTTTAACATTGCCCCTTTCAATGTGGCTTTCAGACCGTGTCTAATATATTTCGTTTGCGTTCCTTTGTTATAATGTATCGGGTTTGGAGATTACGCCCAGCGTGTGTATGGAATGTATGGATCTACGATGACGTAAGCATTACCGAACGTCCAACAATGATGTTGTGCAACATCTTGCATCGAGTACAAAGGATGGAGCAAAGATAAAAATGTCGTCGCAAGCCAAATCCTTTGATGTCAACCAGTGCCCAGTATCATTAATAAAAATATTAAATATCATACCGTGAAAAGGCGATGACGTGGAACTTACGTATAAAAGGAATTTGTCAAACGCACGTGTTTCTTCCGTTAGCCTGGCAATCCAATATACGTTTTGCTTAGCGTGTCTATAATGTTTTATTTGATGGGAGAACAAACTAAATAGTCAAAAAATTATAGAAACAAGAACGGGGTTCCATTAAATTAATCGCATACTAAGTGTTTTACCGAATTGAATACATCATATTTGAAATGTTTGTACTCACCACTATGCATGGTATTTGATTCAGCGTCGGCAACCTCGGTTCTCGACTTTTTCTGGTCTTCAGGAGATCCCGATGTATCCATACGCTCTTGCTTGATCTTAGGCTTGATATCTTCATCAGGCGAACTTGAAGGTAACGGTGATGTTGAGGCTCGCCGTTTAGGTGTTGAGGTTTCAGTTTCGGCTTCTGAATAAGAAATCATGATTATTTTGGTTCACCTTTAGAATTAAACTAAGAATTAGATTTAGAATTAAGCTGTACCCGTCCGCTTCGCTGTGCATTTAAAATTAACATTATTATTTCATGAACGCCCCCGCAACTGGTGTAGGAAGCCCAACACTCATATAAATATTAGCCTATGCATTAAGTACATGTATTTTCTGCATGGATACCAAGTTTCAAGCCAATAGGATGCATGGTTCAGTAGTTATAACGGAACATCCGTAAAAACCACTGTAGATTTACATATTAGTATAGATATAGATTAGAACTATTATAGTTTATCTTCTTGTCGAAATAGCATTTATTAAATTGGCAACATCAAATGTATGTGTATATTTTCTTACTCATTTACATTTAATTACTCTATGAATGGATGGATTTAAGAAGGTAATTCCATTATCGTGGTTTACTTATTAATATTGTTTAATGTTCAAATTTAAATTATCAGATTAGACAATTATCATATGGGTATTGGTTATTTAAATGATGACGTAGACAGACTAATTCCCAGTTTTCCTGATTTTAGTTACCTTAGTACTGTAGTAGTTAGTACTCTGGCCATTCAGAGTTCAAAAAAACTGCTTTTGTCAGCAATTTGAGGCATAAGGTTGTAGTACAATGTGCGCCCTAGTTTGAACGTAAAATATTTGGGTATAAAACATATACCGGCTTCGCCCTAATACAGTAAAAGCTCTTTATTACGGGGTATATGTTTCCGTAAATATGCCGTGAATACAGAAACCGTGAATATGGAAAAGCGCGATTACAAGTGTTTTTTTTTCTTTTTTCTTTTTCCCTACCTATGCTGATAGCCTTGAGAGGCTATATCAGCTTCTCCCTAACGTGTAGGTGAGCTCACGGGGCTCGAACCGGAGTGGTGCTAATACTGGCCCTAGCGAGAGCAGTGCTTCGCAGAATCTACCACCGGATTGGAAACGCGACCTACTGAGAAGATCCGGCGAGAGACTCAGTGGGCTGTGTCTATGGGTTAATTCGCTCGGCGAGTCCTTCGTCGCAAGCGACGGGTTCGACGAGGACGGGGACCGGTGTGATATTCGGTTGAATACCTACATATTGGAATTGTTTTTATCAATTTGTGTGTATCGATGTACAATAGATTAAATACGCGAATAAATAAATCTCTAGCCGGGAATATAAGAATTGAGTCGATTTTTTTAAATCCGCGACTATTGAAAACGCGATTGAAGGAAGCACGATTAAGAAGCTTTTACTGTACTAATCATTGTTAATTTAAAAAAATGTTGTCCTTATTAGTATGTGAATCGTAGTATTTTTGCATACCATCGAGAAGTCTCTTTGGAGTGCTCGAAGCGCCCCCATCTTCTAAAAGGTCAGGCGGTGCTATTGATGGACTAGCCAAAGGCGGTGTGTGGATCCTGCTGTTCGGAAGTCGCCTTGCAGTCAGAAGCGAGGGTCTTCGACCGCTAGAGTTCGCTGTTGAAACCTGACCTGGCCTGGACCCGTCTTCCTGGTCTGAATTCGGACCTGTTAAATAAACGATTTGATTTTGATCCTATCTTCTATAGTTGTTAATGAAAAAGTATATTGTTGGAAAATTTATCTGTCTATGTACATCCATGTTTATTTTTTATTTTTAATCTTTGTTTAGTTATCACTTTTTTCCTACCTATGACGTGTAGGTGAGCTCACGGGGCTCAAACCGGGAGTGTTGCTAACACTGACCCTAGCAAGAGCAGTGCTTCGCAGAATCTACCACCGGATCGGAAACGCGACCCACTGAGAAGATCCGGCGAGAAACTCTGTGGGTTGTATCTATGGGTTAATTTATTCGTCGAGCCCTTCGTCGCAAGCGACGGGTTCGACGAGGACGGTGACCGGTGCTTGTGGTACCTAAAAGCACCGTTAATGGATCGGGAGGATCCGTAGTGACGTGCTTAGGGCGACGTCGACTGTATACCATTCGGTCCACCGGATCGAGTATGGTTATCACTGTGGACAGTGTTCTGTGGTATAGGATCATCGACGACCGGTAGTAGGTAAATTGTGAATCATTCCACAGGCTTAGAGTGAAGTTACCAGTGTAAAATTCTTATTTAAGTAGCATCATTTTATTTATAACAACGAGGAATGTTCCATATCTCTGAATTATGTAAAGGATTATATCTCAAAGCATAGTAAATTTGTGGATGCCCTATTGATACATATATATACTTACCAGCGCTATAGCAGTGATAAGACGTGAGCTCTTTATCGCAGGACGAGACTTTGTGCTGGATGAACCTGATTATGTCAGCCAGCGCAAACGCTCTCCTGCAGGCCCCACAGGTCAGGGTATCTGCTGGAACTCCGGGCGTTGGAGATCCACCGCCCTCTGCCGCGCTGTCCGCATCCGCTGGGAAAAAGGAGCGGCATAAAAAAATAGTTGGTATCCGTAACATTGTGATAAGTAACTGATATTTGGTATATTTGAAATTGACATAAGTACAATTCATTAGATTGTGATTTTTTGGCGGGAAGGGAAGTTGTGTGAATCTTTTTAATTTTTTTATTTAGAGTCTCTTCAGATTTAAATGTGTAATAGCGGTGGTTTATTAACTGTTTAGTATTTGTGAAAGTGCACAAATGTACGAAAATGAAACATCTAAATAAAAAAAATTACCACCATTTTACTGAGATCATATTTCATCCCATATCATATCATTTTAATTATTTTCATAATTAAAGTTTCAAACTAATCAACTTCATTTCATTTCGGTCCGTAACATTTTTAATAAAAAAGAATATACAAAACATTAGGCTGGATGGTATGATGATGACCTTTGCCTTTTCAGTTGGAAAAATAGAACTACTATTCATTAGATTGCCAGTTATTTACAACGATTTTTAAACACTGTACATTGCTGTTCTAAAATAGCATCGCTGCATTTATGCGACACCACAGTAACTATGTTTAATATTTTACAAGTATATACAATTTTAGTCTCCAATACCCTAGCAATGAACATACAATTAGACACCTAATTAACACTCGTATATGGCAACAAATTATTTGCACAGCTGTCGCGAGGTAAACATTCTGACACACTTTCTCGAGACATGTCATTGAGGGACACAAAAGGCAGTTTCACAACATATGGACAGTGACAGGACTATAGTATTTTGGCCCTTTAAATGTGAAATTACGGATAATTATAAGTTGTTTCGTTCACGGAGGTGTCAGTTGGGATGGCCACATTTCTCCGGAGGATACGCATCACCGTAATCAGAGCTGTTAGTGGTCCGTTTTTTTTTTTAATTCAAATTGTTTTTGCATTCCTGAATCGTTTTGGAGCCGTTTTGAAAATACTAGTGGTCCCGCAGTAGTCGAAATTCGACTATAATTAATGAAAATTATAAGTTTGAACATTAATATGGTTCTATTTTCAAAGACTATTTATTATAGTTCTATAATCACAGATTTCGCCAAGACTACACTATAGACAAATAATATTAAAGACAAACAATATTAACCTATTCTCAATTTAACCACAGACTTTATGTAATTATAAAAGTTTGACAATAAACAAAGAGTATGTACATATATATGTGTGTGTCAAATACATGGTAGTGTGTGTAATATTTTTTTTTATTCATTTAATGTATTTTTAATGCATAATTTAAAAAAATATTAACATTTTGTACTCCTTCTTTATAGTCTCTTTAGGTGTGGGAAATTTCATACTCCTCCGTCCGCGCAATTTTCGTAAAAAGGGGTACAAAGTTTTTGCTTCACGTATTAAAATATAGAGAAATCGACATTGAATTTTTTATGTGATTTGTTTCAGGTAACGGAGAGAGTCGAATATTACTTAGCGCGTTCAAGGCACATCCGCTATTGTTCTAGTAGTACTAATCGGTCTAATTTTCAGCGACTCCATCGCGACCACATCGACTGCCATTACGAACGTTTAAATGGGCTCAATAAATAAGCCGCCTTCAGGACCGACGCCTTGGAATTATAAAGGCGTTTTCACATTCAAGCCGCACACAATTGGCCGGCACATCAAAGAGCTCGCGAGCTAATTTCACATAAGTACTGTATAGACGCCCTTACGGTTCCCTCACGTTATTATTTTTACTCGGATTCTCTTTTGTACAGCGTTTAATATACACGGGGGCTGATTGTAACCCGAGTACCAAATTAATATAGCAAAGAAGAAAAAAACTACGGAATTCGGTTGTTCTGTTTACATTGCCGTACCTAAGTTTGTTTTAAGGGTATATTATGTAAATGTATACGTTTGTTGAGGTTAATTTTTTACAGATTTGTCGGAACAAACGTTCGCTCGTGGCAAATGGCTTTTTTCGGTCACTTCCTTCCGGATGGTTGAGGCTCGTTTAATTATGATACGTATTTTTTTTTGGTTCACTAGTAATTTAAAGGTGGCGTTTAGCTTTACAATATTTCGTCGAGTTAACAAACTAGAATTTTCTTCAGTTTTGGCGAGTTAAAGACATAATTATAATTTGCCTTTTTTTATCACTATATTATTTTCGAGGTCTTTTACAGTTTTCGTGGCCACCGATGACTAAAGTCTTATTTGTCGATATTTGTTTGTTTGTTTATCTATAAAAACAATTAGTCAAATTTCAAACGGGATGAAACTGTAAAATTCCTTTCTATTAATTTAATAAACTACTACTGCTTCCAAATCCCGCCGCAAAAAGCACACTCTCTAATGACGTCATAGTTATTTAATCACTTTCATACTGAGCTAGAAATCACAATATAAATATTGAATTAATCAAACTTTAACACTACACAGGTGACGAAAAAGTAACCGTGTGAAGAAGATCGTTCTGGCCACTCCCACCTACGAAAAACTGCCCAGTAGTGACCGGACAATGGTCAACCGACACATGCGCCCTTTGGATTGAAATACACCCACAATTTACACATAATATATCTATACATATAAATAAAATTAGAGTGTCTGTTTGTAGTATTGAAATAACCTCTTTTTACTACATGCATATGAATATATATACGGTACATACACCAAAATAACATTTTTTACAATTTTTGTCTGTCTGTCTGTTTGTTCCGGCTAACCTCTGGAACGGCTGGACCGATTTTGATGAGACTTTCACTAATAGGTAGCTGATGGTATAAGGAGTAACTTAAGCTGCTTTTTTAGACTAGGTTAGCCCCGCGGCGTCACCAGCAATTATTGTCGTACCGCGCGCAACATGGCGGGCTTCGCCTATTAGTAATAAAATTTAATGTTTCTGAAGCGAAGCGAGGGCGGGTCGCTAGTTATAGATAGATATAGATAATAAGGTTAAATTGAGACGTGCTATACTTCGTAATAGAATAATACATTTTGTGTTTAATTAATCCATGTTAAGTATGGCCGTAAAATCGATTTAAAAAAGTGAAAATTTTGCGAACATTTCGTATGAACGCAATTGCGTTTTTTTTTTATTGCTTAGATGTGTGGACGAGCTCACAGCCCACCTGGTGTTCAGTGGTTACTGGAGCCCATAGACATCCACAACGTAAATGCGCCACTCACCTTGAGATATAAGTTCTAAGGTCTCAGTATAGTTACAACGGCTGCCCCGCCCTTCAAATCGAAATTATTACATTACTGCTTCACGGCAGAAATAGGTAGGGTGGTGGTACCTACTCGTATGGACTCACCAGAGGTACTACCACCAGTTGATAAGAATTGCTCTGAAAATTAATCCTGAATTTTATTAGACGCTTAATAGCTGCCCGTATTTGATCTCTAAAGATAGCGTGTAGATTAGTTGTTAAATATATTTAGGTGTCTTTACTTTCAAATCTATTTTTGGTCTTTTTGCAGGTGGTTGAAGGCTTATCTGCCCAAAATTGGTTACCATTCACGGAAATCGGCAATGCTGAGGGCACAGCCAAGGAACTAATTAACTCTATCTACTGTTATCCTTCAAAACTAATTGTATTCAAGACAATCAACACTTGGTTATTGTTTTTAAGCGCTATATACAAATTCCATCTACAAAAGAAGTAGTCACAAATCATTTGACGCTTACTCAATTGATTTATTACTTAAGGGTGGCATAATTGAATGGTACTCGGACAGTGGCCAACCCATCGTCCATCCTTTTACCTAAATACACCCACATTTAAACTATTTATTTTCACAGTCAGATTTATTGGTTGGTAGCTGTGTATTGTTATCTGGATTTGGGACAATTTATGTCTTGCTTTGTTAACGTAAGTTAAGTTAAGAGCTATTTATTGGGTTTAAAATTGCTCAATCCATTTAATTTTAGTATTTAATATAATAATTATTATTATTATCCATTTAATTTTAATACTATTTAATTTTTCAAACTTAGTAACATTGTACTGTCTGCTAGGGGAATACACAAGGATTCTCCTTTTTTAATAATTCAAGAGTTAGCTTTGTTGGCTGGTAATTGAAACATCGTCCTTAAAGATGGACTTGGTATTCGGCTATGATTTCTATGGAATATACATATATCATTCACATCAATAAACACTTTTAATAAAATTTAATGAATAAATTAGCAAGTTAGTTGTAGCATCTCTGAGGAAATACACAATAAGCTTTTAGAGAATATAGCTATCTTACATTACCTCACAAAATGTAGTGACAAAATAAATTTAAAACGACTAAAATAAAAATAAAATATGTAAGCTGTATTTACAAGAAATTTTCATGACAATCGAAACACACAAAGGCACAAAGCAAAACGAATCCGTATTTTATTTTTAGCTTATTGAAAATCTAGGCAAGTACCCCGCCTCAGGTGATATAGGGGGAGCCACCCTTCAAAGGACGGTAGGAAAAGTTTAAATTAGCTCGTTACGACACACGGCAACGTCCATGTTATATCTGGGTTTTGTGTGTGGACGTTATACAGTGCTTCAGAATCAATTGAAATTGATAGTTTCACTTGGAAACACTGAGATGTAAAATTATCATCTTCATCTATCTATACTTATAAAAATGAATTGCTGTTCGTTAGTCTCGCTAAAACTTGAGAACGGCTGGACCGATTTGGCTAATTTTGGTCTTGAATTATTCGTGGAAGTCCAGAGAAGGTTTAAAAGGTGAAAAAAGTTTGAAAATGTCCTCCGTCGGACGGATTCCTTTTGTTTTTTTTTTTAAGTTAATTTTATACAAAAGTTTCGATCTTTTATTTCTCGATTGAGGCGCTACGAAGTCTGCCGAGTCAGCTAGTACTTGATAAAACAATTGGAGTACAGTCGAATGTTTTTATAGATTCCATTAGATGGGCTTTCGATTAATTTGGTGTTAAGTAGTTATTGTTGTAAATAATTATCAGAAATGCTGCTACATATCTTTAACATGATCTCTAAGTCTTAAAGAGACGGTG